AGAGGGCAAGCAGACAAAAGTATCCAAACACACTTGGAACTGACCCACTGCAAGTCACCAGAGCCCCTGCAGCATCTCCTCCAGGAAGGCCTTGAGTAGCCAGGGCTGGTCCCTGCTGACACGTGGCTCCCTTGGCTATCGAGGATAAGACCAGCATCTCCATGGTTCTTTGCAAGCTCACCCCATAGCCTGGGATGATGTTCTGCCTCTCCGGAGCCTTGCAGTGGTTCCTGACAGTGTCCCCCTCCCTTGCAGCTTCAAGCAGCAGAACCTGGAGCAGCGACAGTCAGACGTGGAGTATGAACTGCGTTGTCTCCTCAACAAGCCAGGTAAAGCATCACTCTGGGTGCAGTTACCTCCATTTTTCCCCAGATGTCATCTCCCCTCTGTCTAGGTGGGTCTCAGGTGAAGAGAGACAGATCTTTAGGGATGCCAGCGCAGTCAGCTGGCGTTAGAGCTGCTGTTCCCTCTCACTGCATGCCCCAGCCATGTGCGGGGACTTGTGCCTTTTGTCCCTGTGGGATGCCACCTACAAGGCTCTCCCTCCACAGCACCGCTAGCCCAACTGGCCCTGCAGCACAGCAGGGTAGCAGGGGATCGTGCTAGGGGATCTCTGCCCCAAAGTCTGAATTTCAGAGCTCCTTCAGCCATTTAATTGCCTGTCCTTCCTCGGGGTTTGGCTGGGTAGAGAAGGACTGGACCGACGAGGACCGAGGGAGGGAGAAGGTGCTGATGCAGGAGCTGGTGACCATCATTGAGCAGAGGAACGCTATTGTGAACTGCCTGGACGAGGACCGGCAGAGGTGAGTGAGGAGTGGGGTGGGTTGGGGGAGAGGGGAAAAAAGTGCAGCCTGTCTGACTCAGCACCACACGAATGGCTCATGGGGGTGTCCCAAGATGTCCCTGTTGCTGACGTCTTTCCCAGACTTCCCAATTCTTGTCTGTTTGAATGCCTTGTGTGGGAAAGACAGGGCAGTACTTGCAGCACGTGGGATTTATCCTGGTAGCAAATGCTCACAAGACAGTGATGGATCTGCCCCTGCATGGCTTCTAAGTAGGAGGTTCTCTAGCCTTGAACAATACAGCAGCTGTTTTCAGGGCTGAATTGCTGACCTATTTCCCACTCTTTCTTTCAGAGAGGAGGAGGAGGATAAAATGTTGGAAGCCATGATTAAAAGGAAAGGTAAGAAACAGTAGAGATTTTTGGACTGATGGTTTCACTGCTGACCCCAGCGAGGGGCAGCGTAAGCCATTCATGAAAATGTGTGCAGGAGGAGAGATTGAATCTATTCTGTGCAGATGCCAGAGCCTTTCCTGTAGGGCTGTTAAAGTTTGGGGCACAGTTGTGCTGCACACCCCTGTTATCACAGGAAGAAGCGTGCATACAGTGGAAGGCTGTGATTCATGGCTCTCGTCCTTGCCCCTGAGGGGGGTGGGTGGGTGTGTGTGTGTGTGTGTGTGTGTGTGTACAACCATCAGCATCCCACAGTAACGACCTCCCTTTGCAACCCCAGAATTTCACAAGGAGACAGAGACCGAGAGCAAGAAGAAAGGCAAATTCAAGCCCATGAAGGTGCTTAAGCTGCTGGGCAACAAGCATGACTCCAAGAGCAAGTCGCCCAAGGAGAAAAGCTAGAGCAGGGGAACACCAGCAGTGGGAGGGATGTGCTGCCCGGCTGCCCTGGCCTCTCCGCAGCTGGCTGGGATGCCTGCCAGGAAGGGGGGCTCGTCTCCCTCCGCTCCCCTCGCTTCTCCCCCCACTCCCTCCCCAGCCACCGGAGCTGCCGCCCCAGGGAGACGCCAGCCCTCTGCCCGGAGTGGGGGAGTCTGACCAAAGCGCTCCCCTTCCCAAGGCTGCGGAGGAGCCTGACCGTCCCCTCCACGAAGCCTTGCTAACGAGGTGGGGAGAAGATGGATTCGCTTTTCGGATACGTTACCCCATTGCGTGTTCTTGTTATTAACTGAGGAGCAAGCCAAGGAGTTTGGTGTTTGTGGGAAAACTTGCACTAACTGCCCCCCGTCCCTTCTCCCGCTCTAACTGTGACAGTTCCATGTGCCTCTGACCTCTGCCAGGAGGGACTGGGCCTGCCTGTCCCTCCCTGCCCACCCACTCTTGTCCCCTTCCTGTCCCATTTTTAACTTCAGGAGAAAGCTCTGGCATTAGAATCAGGATTCTTTGGGTTTTACTGGCCTAAACTAAAATGTTAAGAAAACACTCCCGCATCACAAGGCTCTAGAGCCGTAGCCAAAAAAATAACTGGTGCCCTATTTATTTTGAGATGTCCCCTCCCTCGAGCGCCGGGGCTGGGTGGGCTCCATTACAGGGCTGAGAGGACCCAAGGGGACGGTGCACAGCTGCTAGGACGTAGCTCACCGCCCTACTCAGGACATCTTACCCCCCACTGCTGCTAAACACCGCTGACTCTGCTGCCTTTGAGGGGAGGGAGGAACATTCCTTTTCCAGGCAAGGGCAGAAAAGCTCAAGACTGACTCAGTGCCGGCAAAAGGAGCACTAAGCTTGTGCCTCTGCTCACTAATGCCACCCTTGAGCGGCTGGGGAGAGGCATGGGCACAACTGACCTTGACCCAGCTTCATCTGTGTATACTTTAAAAGTGTGCAGGGGTTGGCTGGTTATTTTTTACACCTCCTTTACTAGATGAGTTCAAACCCACCCTTAAAACTTTTTAAACCCCTTATTTTATTTGTCATGTTTGTGCGTGTGTGTACATTGGAGGAGGGAATGGGGGGGCAGTGTTCTTCCAGCCATCCCTTCTTCCTACCATTTTTGTTTCCTGCCTTCTCCTCCAAGGTGAGGAGCTATTTATTGAATTGTTGGATCAGTCTGAATTAGTGTCATGGGTGTTTGGTTGGTCAGCTGTTTGTCATGCCTTCTTGTTAGCAAACTAGACATAACCAGCCCCGAGCAAACTGCTGCAGTCCCTTCTAAAAACCCAACGGGCTTTAGCCAAAATGCTCTCAGAGCAGTGCCTTGCAAGGTGGCTGGCATAGCATTCTGGAAAGGGATCCTTATTTCCCAAAACCTGAGGGACCCGAGCCCCTCCTTAATCCCAGCATGACTGGGAGGTGGCAAGCTCAGCCCCGTGCCGGTGACACTGTCTCACTCGTGCCGTACCCCAGCAGGCTGATGAGGAGCAGTGGAAGGGGAGGGGAGATCCCAAAGCACAGCTTTTCTCCCAGGAGAAACAAATCTGCTTTAGAGCCTGCTGTCACGTCACTGTTGCCAAAGGCCATTGGGATCGCTGCAGCCTGACACCCCTTGGCCCCGCGCCTGGTCAGAACTCTGATTTGTAAATTATACTGTACTAACTCCGTGACTTCCATTCACCTGAACAGAAATAAAAGAAAGATTGGATTTAAAAACCGATTGTGGCTTAGGTTTCTAATTCTTTAGCGCACTTGCGTTGTCCCGGGGACAGGGCGTGCTGCCTGACTTTGGACAGTGGCTGACAAGAGTATTGCTAAGAAGCAGATGGAATCTTAAGGAAATTGGGAGGCAGACTTTATGCTGGGATTTGCGCAGGAACAGCAGGGCATCGTGCTTCAGGCTGCTAGAGGACAGAGGTGGGGGGTACATATGAGATAAGCAAACAGCCATTTCCAGGCTCAGTGGGAAGCTTGTGGCTATTGTGCATACCATGCTTTCAGGAACCAAAAAACCACAGCAGAGAGCAGAATGTGCTGGGCTGAAATCCCCTCTCCCTCCTCAGTGCCTGCCCAGTTCAGCTGCCACTGAGAAGTCTGCTGATGCACACAATCCTGCTGACCTGCAGTAATGCTGGAGGCTTATGTTTGCGCAAGGCCGTGCAGCTGCGTCTTCCTCTGCACTCTCTGCCAGCACAGCCATTCCCAGGGTCGTGGGGACAGGAGCGGGTCGTAGATGTGAGACGTTTATCATACTGTCGTAATGTCCTCTGGGTGGATGGAAAGGAGCGACGCTTTTGTTGGTGTATTGCTGTACTCCGAGGCATTGCATAGGCAAAAGGAGGCTCTGCTTTGTCATGTTTTGGTAGCTGCTGCTGTGTGTTTTCATCTCTTTAATATTGTTGAGCAAGAAGGGATCCGGTGCGGGGGTAGGATTTTACAACAGCTTTCTTCTGTTACCAGGTACGTACAAATTACTCCTGCCTTCTGGCTTTAGGCAACAGGTGGTGCTGCCCCCTCTTCGGCACAGGCGCAGACCAGCCCTTCAGACTCTGATGCCAAGAGTCTGGGAAGAAGAGATGGGAACAAACTGCGCTTCTGGTTTTTTCCCTTCGCCTAGTCATGGGGATCGGATTTGTCCCCAGCAGGGAAGATGTCTTTTGTCATGATCTCTCTCATTTCCTCACTTCTCTTCTTGTCAATGATCTCCATCTCACGCATTTTCTGCAAAATACAAAGGGGAAGGGCTGAGTGGGGAGAATGCTGGCAGCTTTTCTTCTTCTTCTTTTGCCAACCCCGTGAACAAAGCTTTCCCTGATTAAGTTACGTGCAGACATGGAAAAAAAGGCTGAAAACCTCTATTCCCCAAATTCATGTCTGTCCTGTGCCATGAAGGGAAACAGTTCTCTTCCCTTTCTCCTTCCCCACTGAGGTAATGGAGGGAGACTCTGCTTTAAGGTTTCTGACACCAGGGATTCCCTCCATGTGCGGCACAGCCAGTGTCACCAGGGCCCTCGCATACCTGTGAGATTTCAGTGAGGACAATCCTTCGATACTTCTTGCCCTGTCCTAAAGCTTCCATCTCTGCCAGGAACTCCTTCCTCTCCTGAACTTCATTCACCACTGACAGAGAAGAGAAAACGCTGTGGAAACAGGATTCAGCCAAAAAGCAAGAAAACATGTTTCTGTCTAGATCTGAACCCCCAATTTTCTAGCTCTGCTTGAACAGCAGTCCCACCAGGGGAAGGGTGATGTCTGCTGTAACACTCATCTTGCACATGTGTTCAAAATACCTCAGTAGTCCCTTATGCAAAAGGAAATCATAGACTCATAGAATGGTTTGGGTTGGAAGGGACCTCAAAGATCACCTAGTTCCAACCCCCCTGCCACGGGCAGGGACACCCTCCACTAGACCAGGTTGCCCAAAGCCCCATCCCGCCTGGCCTTGAACACTTCCAGGGATGGGGCAATGTCTCTCCTGTCCATCCTCTTATCAGTCCCCATCTTTGTAGTAATTTTTTCTAGTTTTTTTTGTACAGACAATTCTCTATTGCTTGTGGGCAATTTAACCTGTCTGTGGATGGAGACAGAACCTGTTTAAAACTGTTGAGGTTCATTAGTTGACACGCGTCACTCAGCGACTACAACCATCTCTGCTCCCAGGACCAGCACAGGTACAGAACATTAGCCGCTGCTTTGCAGCACAGACCTGCAGCCTGCTGGTCCAAATCTTGCCACAGGAAAAAGTACATGGGTATTTCAGATGCGTCAAGGACAACACTCAACTTGCGCCAAGTTTTAGAGGATGTATAAAGCCAGCTGCGCTGGCTTCCCTGCAGCAGGAACCAAAGCACCCCTTCTATACATGCTATTCTAGCATTGTCCATCTTTGTGCTGCCCTGGCTAGTGACGGGCTGGCTGGCGTGTGCACACACATTGAAGATTCAAGCACAGAGAAGTATTAGGCAGGGTTTTGCCATCCCAGAATACTCTGCAGGCCATCACTGCTTAAAATTCTGCTCAACATTTAAGTTTTGCTAGCGTAACTGCTGTGATCTTGGAGTGAAAGAAAACGGAGCCCAAACCACGATCAGGCTGGCAAGCATCCTAGTCTATGTGGAGTTATGCTGGCTAGAAAAAGGACCCGCAGTACCTGGGATTCCTGCCCAGGTCACCCCGCACGTCCCTAGGGTGTTCCCCTGCCAGCAGAGTTCATTTTGTGTGGGCAGCCCAGGGAGCTTGAATCTGCCAGCAGACCTCTGCAGTATAAGCTCCGTGAGGTCGGCTGGATCACAGCGTCACAGCAGCAAGTCCTTTCTCTTGGAAACTGGGCTTTGTGCCTCCTTCCGCAACTGGCTTCAGGTTACCGGCATGGCCTGCCACCCCAGCCCTCAGAGGGAGCTGGCTTCCCAGGCTTCCCGCCTGCCTTCCTCCAGGGTACATAAAGACATACGTTCTTCAAACCGGTTGGGCTCAGGTATCTCCTCTTCCTTTGTCTGAACTAGCATCTGCTTTACTTTGTGCTCCACCACATCCTTCCCTGTTGCTAAGATGTTTTGGAGTCTTTGCTTCTCCTTTTCCAAATCTCCTGTGAGTGCCAAGGGGAAAAAAAATTATCAGCCTGTCTCCTCAGGGAGGACCCTGGTCACACCATTTCCCTGCCAATGATGCCAGAGGAAGCGTTAAGTTAATGACAGCCCATCTCCAGACTCAATTGTGCAAGCATTGTGCAGGCATACCTGTGGTGAAGAGCCAACCAAACTGACATCAGAAGTTTGACTGACTTTTATAAGCTAGAAAATCACATAGCACTCCCTTCTTATAGAGGGAGTGTGTGAATCCATATCACCTGTCACCCCTCTAGCGAGCAGGCAGAAGTCAGGGGGCACTTAGAGCAGATGTTGGCTCAGAGATCCCTTTTGAAAGCATCTTTGAAGACAGAAAGCGTGAGGATGAAGAGCAATTAAGATACTGAGATTGCAGGCAGGGGATGGATGTGAGGGGAAGAGAGGGACTGGGCGGCATCATTTATTTATTAGCGGTGTTTGCCGACTTACGCCTTGCCCGTGGCTTGAATTTCTCTCGGGTGTAGGCATCTCCTGCCTGGCAGACGTTGGCAGGTCGGAGATGCGGTTTAGCTGAAAGCCTGCATGGCTGACAAACTGCTGGGGGGAAAGCAGGTGCTGCAGGTGCTGGCTCTTTGGTGGATGTGGGTTGGCACTGGAGGGGCAGGGTATCTCCTCCTGGCGAACAAATCAAAAATATTGGTAAGTCAGACAGAAAAGAGCCTCGATGGATGGTTCTGGGCTACCACCAGCAGAAGATCTGCCTGCTGATCCGCTGTAGCACCACAAGCAAAGACCCCGGGTGCCACAGGTGTCTCACCCTGGTTGTTGGTACACGCTAAGTTGAGACAGACTGTGGTTCAAGTCACACCATTGCGTCTTGTTCCCTGGATGACCCTTGGGGACGCCTCGCCTGTATGTTCCCACATGTCAGCAGTAGCCATGCTGCTGTTTTAAAACACTTGCTCATTCAAGCAGGCTGTGAGCAAATGTCCCTGTCTCATGGCGAGCAGCATGACATCACTCACGTTTCACACAGTCCATCAGGTATCGCCTCTGGAAATGTGTCAGCTTCGACTCCTCCATCATCACTGAAAAACAGGACGTATGTGTGAAGACAGGCTGGGGAACCTGCCCCGGGGCGCTCCCCCCTCACAACCAAACCCAAAGGGGAAGGTGCCCATTTAGAAGACTCAGGCCGGGGCGGCGCCACCAGGGCCGGGCCCGCCCGAGGGAACCGCGGTGGGACGCTTCACTTCGGGGCGGGGG